GGGCCCGGCTCAGCAGAGGCTCCGACTCGGCCCGGGGGTCCGCCATGGGGTCGCCGCGCCGCCCCGACCTCACAGGAATACGGGACGCCGGCGCGGGCTCCACTGCGCAGGCGCGGCGTCCCCGCCCCTGGGGCTCGGGGGGAGGGGCGGACGGCTGTGACGTAGGGGATGCCCCTTCGCTAGCAGCCAATGAGGACGGAGATCTCAAGTGAGGAGGCGGGGACCCCTTGGGCCCCGCCCCTCGGCGTGCGGCTCTCTTCCTTCCACCAGGGAGGGACTCTCAAGACTCCTTAGGGCTGGGAGGAGTGCTTCTCAAAGGGTGGTCCCCGGACCTGCAGCGCCAGCCGCACCTCCCGCCCAGACCTGCCGAATCAGAAACTCTGGGGGCCGGGCCCAGGGATCTGTGTTTTGCATGTGAGTGTTGAGTACGTGGGGGACCGCCAAGGACAACCCCTAAAATGGAACTTGAGTTTGCGCTCTGCTAATGAAATTAGAAAGAGTAAATAGAATAGAGGGTGAAGTTTAAAAAGGCAAATGACACACTGAAAAAAATAATGACAACATGTATAAAAAGTGTTCTCAAGATTAATAAAGAGCTTGTTTTCTATTGCACATTGCCACAAATTTAACTTAAAACAACTACCGTTTATTATTTCTCAGTCCTAGAGGTCAGAAGTCCAGTGGCTCTGCCGGGTTCTCATCTCAAGCCCTCACAAGGCCAAAGTCAAGGTGGTGGCCCGCCTGAGCCGGGCTCATCCAGGTGGCTGGCAGAATCCACTGCCATGGGGCTGGGACTGAGGTCCCCATCTCCTCCTGGAGGGCGGCCCGTGGTCATTCTCAGCTCCTGGAGGCCACTCGCTCTCGGCCCCCTCCATCATCAAAGCCAGCAAGAGTGCACTGAATCTTTTGCATGCTTCCAACGAGCTGCTGCAAGACACAGCAAGATGCTGCCAGTGCCTCTGACGTCCCTCTCTGCCACATCTCTTTGCTTTTATGGGCTCATGCGATTGCATCACGCCCATCGGATAATCCAGGATAATCTCCTTATTTTAAGATCAGCTGATTAGTAACTTTAATTACAACCGCAAAATCCCTTTTGCCATGTAACCTACCATAACCAAGAGCATGATGCCAGGATGTGAAGGTCATGGGGGCCAAAATCCTGCCTCCCACCGAGCTCCTAAAAATCAGTAAGAAAAAGATTAAATTCTCCATAGGTGGGAAATGGGCAGAGGACATGTACCAGAGGTTCACAAAGGAAGAAATATCAATGATGACCCTTATTAGAATACAGAGATGCAAATTAAAATAGCAATGAAATCATTAAGCCCTTCAGTTGGCAAGGCAAATATTTAAAGAATGATTCAGCTCCTGAGGGCAAGAGGGTGGCATACCCAGGAGGGTAGAGAGAAATCACAGGATGAGCTCATGGGCTCAAATTTTTTTTCTTTACCAAGGAGCATGCATTTTAAAACCTCAAAAAAGTAAGATATTTTTATTCTGAAAAGAGGAAATAATAGAGGCAGCTCTTTGCAAAAATGGCCCATACCCTATAATTAACAAGACAAGAAATAACAAGTGGTGGAGAGGATGTGGAGAAAAGGGAACTCTCATACACTGCTGGTAGGAGTGCAAACTGGTGCAGCCACTATGGAAAACAGTGTAGAGATTCCTCAAAAAATTAAGAATAGAGCTACCATACCATCCAGCTATGCCAGGGCCGGCCCCGTGGCTTAGCGGTTAAGTGCATGCGCTCCACTGCTGGCGACCCGGGTTCAGATCCCGGGCGCGCACCGACGCGCCGCTTCTCT